AAAGATTTTCTTCCTTGTTGTGTTTCTTGTTGGTTTGGTATTGTTAGGCAAGAATTTTTTTCTTATTTCTGCTCAATGAAATATATGTTCTCACTAACACAAGAAGGAAGGAAATGCTGTACATGTTATATTCTTTGATTTGTCAACTCCTATTCAAGTCAAGCCAGATCAGAGGTCAAGGGAAATTCAGGACATTCAATCTTCAATTTATTGCCACAGAGAAAGAAACATGAGCTCAATTGGAGACTTCCCTTGATGCAAAAAATTAATGACTGCAGTATTCAAGTTCATTTCAAGCATACTTATTGAATGAGGTGCTTTGAAAATTGTACTTAGCTGGGACTGTTATCCAGGGCTTCAAACAAATAGTCACAGGTTTTTTAGCTTTTTATTTTGAAGTAATGATGTGATATTGGATAAAAATGGCATACCTTATTGGGGACAAATGTCTCAATATAATTTGATGTCCAGTGTTGAAGATAATGAAACCCAAGCAATCAGTCTGGGACAGGACTGGGAATTCCTTGTAGGAATTTCTTAGTTTAAAGGGATAAATGTATTTCACACAGAATAAACTTGGATAACAGCAACAACTCAGTGAACTCAACTTGCAGAGATAAGCAAATAACTGGAGTAATCAATCACAGCTGATGATGATTATTAAGAGGAAGCTTCTTATATTCTACAATTTATTGTTCATGTTAAAATTAATTTTAATTATTTTGACTTTGGCTACCAGTCTCCCAGCTCAATTGCTGTATTATGGGCATTCCCTACTGTTTTGTAGGACCCAGGGTATCACTGGAACCACCCAGCTCATTGTTGCTGGCTTTTTTGTAGTTGAAAATGTTATGAATAAAATAAATTTTCTTTTTTTTTCTCCTTTATTCCATACACATAGAATACAATTCATAAATAAAAAAGGAATCATCATTAGAGAAAGTCATTTTATAAAGCTTTCCGTAGTAAAATGAAAATTTCAGATTTGAATTATGAAGGTAAAAAAAAATGTAATATCTTCGGATCAGGATTTGTTTTTCCGAAAGGCCATGCTTTTCCAGACTTCTTGAAACATTTGACCCCATGCCTGACATATTTTGAGCAACATTCGATGGATGTAATGAACTCAAGTATGCTGTCAGGTGTGAAGAACATTGGCATTGGACCATGATCCAAGAATGATTCATCACCTGATTTTGTAATGAATGTATCAAATGATTTTGTACAATAAATAATTACAAAT